CAGGTATTAATATAGAATCTATCAATAAAATATTAGATATTGAGTTAGTCCTACAAAAATCTTCAACCTTTACATTCCTTCAATAAATTTTTTTTTAAATGTTTTCGAGGCAAGAATTAGCCAAATCTTTCAAGGAAAACATTGAATTTCGCGGCGGATTTTCTGAGTACTGAGAAAATAACAAATAGACCGTCATTTATTAATGATAAGTAAACCATTGTATTTGAAAGATTGTTCTTCTGGAAAGCTCTTCAAAACAAGTAGTTATAAGTTATTAAAAACCTATAAGATTTCAAATTTACGTGATAATTAATTACTTTAGTTTGAAATGATTGTAAAAAAGTTTATTTAATCACAAGAAAGTGGTATCCATGAGGTTTTAGAGATAGGGGAATATTTCCTGTAAACTGAACAAACTATTTGTGAGGTAAATATGGAAAAAGGAGATTAGAGAAATAGAATGAAGCATCATCATCGTCATTCGGATAAAAGTGATTTTTTTTACAATTATTATTATTATTATTATTATTATTATTATTCTTATTATTATTATTATTATTATAATAGTCCTGCAAGTTTAAGAAAATACCACTCTCACCTAACTCCTTCTCTACCCTCGAAACCAGTTGATCCGTAAGTTTCGAAAATAAAAAATAAAAATATGTTTGAATAATATAAATATGAAAATTGGCATCTTTATTTGAATAGGCCTGAACCCACGCATAAACAGAAACACAAGCATAGGAGATCTAGGAAAACATCAGAAAGTTCAAGGTTTAACAAATTTTGTAGAATTTTTTTCTTCATAATCCTCCCTAACACTTTTTATAAGTTGCATAAAATATAAAAATCTCAAAATCAGTGAATTTTCAATACAGACCTCAGGCTCAATCTATCTATACCAAGCTAATTTGAAATGTTTATGACTATATCCAAAAGCATATTTTTGTGTTATGGGCCTCGAAATCATCTAAAGATATTTGTTGTCAGGAACTCCACACTAATTTTTTTTGTATTTAGCCTCCCTGAATCAGTTTGTTTTTATCTTGATTCCAAAAGTAGTTTTGTATGGCCCCAAAATCATATCTTGTTTGAATTTCAGGGCCCCAAAATCAGAATTTACTTGAATTTCAGGGCACCAAAATTAGAATTTATTTGAATTTCAGGGCCCCAAAATAAAAATTTATTTGAATTTCAGGGCCCCAAAATCAGTTTGTTTGCATTAAGGGCTCCGAAATCAATTTTTTTGTAATTAGGGTCCCGAAATCAGTTTGTTAGTACTAAGGGCCCCGAAATTAGTTTAATTGTAATATGGGCCCCAAAGTCAGTGTGTTTGTATTAAGGGTCCCAAAATCAGCTCCAGACGAGAGTAAACAAAGAACTGAAGAATCTGACAGATGGCGGCAGTCAACTAGAAGTTTAGGATCGTATACAAGTGTCTCATCCTCATCCAGGTGTTCTTCTTCTTATCAATTTTGCATCAAAGTTGTTGACGAAATTATTGAATATGTCCATCATTCCGTTATTGTACATCATGGATATCGGATTTTAAGAGGTGGCCCAAGAATCGAGAACGTTTAGTCTAATTTTAAATTGAATGCCGCATAAGTTTGGTTTTATTGCATCAAACAAAACGAGTTTGAACCCAATTGGTAAAATCCTAATGATGAATAAATTTGGAAAAATTTTCTTGTATGAGAAAAGTTTTATTTAATTTAATCCATGGTACAACATAGTTATCTATAAATATACTTTGCAGCTCTGTCTGTCTGTCCGTTTGTAGCCAATAAAGGTCAAAACGACCGAACCGATCGGGCCTAACTTTTGTGTGGGCCGGACCCCACATCAACCCCAGAGAAGGTTTATGGATGCTAAAAATTACAAAAAATTGTGTCTGAAAGTTTTTTTTATAAATTTTGAAAATGCGCAAAAAAATTAATAAATCCGCGAACTTTTTTTTGTTAATATACCAAATTGTTCAAAGAGAAGATGCTCAAAGATAGAGCCATAATCAAAAATTAAAATAAATAAAGCTATATTGAATATAATAATTTTTAGCTGAATTTCAATTTTTTAGAATTAAAATTTTATTACTTTTATGGTTATGCAATACCAAAAAGGCTATAATGCAATTTATATTTCAAAGGAACTAAATACTGGCTTTAGGCATTAATTATTCAAATAACTATACCAAGGATGATAAAAATCTTTGTAGCTAACAGAATTCATATTTTGGAATATGAAGGGTCTTGGAAAATTAGAGTTTGAGGCGAGTACAAGTTCTTTTGTCAAGCAAATATCATCTTTAATACATAAGAAAAATTGAATTTGACTATGCGTAGGACCCCAGAAAAACCCAAAGTGAATAAATACTTAATATTTATATTTAATATTTATTATTTAATCACTTTGAGAAAACCAGAATTGATTAATTGATCAATATTTAATTGTATTCTATTTTTATTAGATCAGAAAGTCGGAACAGTTCGAACAGCAGTCATCCTTTTGGTGTTCCGGAAATACAGGTAGTATACCACACTGCACGAGAACAGGGGCGTACACCGGAATACAGGTAGTATACCACACTGCATGAGAACAGGGGCGTACACAGGAATACAGGTAGTATACCAAACTGTATGAGAACAGAGGCGTACACAGGGGGGGGGGCAGCAACTGTTTGGGCCGGAAAAAATCTTTGAAGATTGTACCAATCCAGGGTAATGAGCACTTGTGTACGCCTCTGCCTTTTATAAGGTAGTTTTTTTCTCCATAACTAAGGCTCAAACTTCTTCACTTTTTAACTTCATAATTGAGCACATATTTTGTCAAATAAAATGTGTGCCTGCACCTATCGTGAATCTAACGATTTAAAATCATATAGCTTGAGTCTAACAGGTGTCTTCGTATTTCCCACAGTGTAGTGTGTACACTGTTAAAACAGTTCTATAGGTCCCACTGTGTACACTGTTAAAAAAGTTCTATAGGACCCTCTGTGTACACTGTTAAAACAGTTGTATTGTACCCACTGTGTACAATTTTAAAACAGTTGTATAAGTCCCACTGTGAACACTGTTAAAACAGTTGTAAAGGTCCCACTGTGTACACTGTTAAAACAGTTGTATAGGTCCCACTGTGTACACTGTTAAAACAGTCGTATAGGTACCACTGTGTACACTGTTAAAACAAATCATGTGTTTGCACTGTGCAACCTATAGAAAAAAGAGAAAGCACGAATCGAAAAGATTAATTAATTAAGATTAATTATCATAAAACATTCATTGAATTTTAGAAAACTTTTATGTTGAACAACTCTAAAAGAATCTCAGAAGACCTTGATAGAATCTCAGAAAACCATGATAGAATCTCAAAAAAACCATGATAGAATCTCAGAAAACCATGATCAAAGAATAACAAACTTTGCTGGCGTAAAAAATTTAGAAATGAACAATGACGATAATTTTATAACACGATGGAAAAAAAACTTTTAATAATAAAAATGCATAAAGATTTCTGTGTTTCATTGCATAATATTAATTAATTAAGGAATATATTCAATCGGACTCAGGTGGAGCAATTCCAGGGCCCAAAGTGTTCAGGTAATTTTCTAACTCCAGACCCCAAATATTCTATAGTAATATATTATAATTTTTTTAATTGTTTTTTTACTTTTACGAACGAACTTTTACGTAAAAACTATTTAATAATACACAAATATTTGTTTTTGGTAGAATTTCAAAATTTTCAAAATCGAAATTTTTTGAGGTAGAAAATTTGGAATCTCGATCGTCCCGAGCTGCCATGAGGTCATCAAAGGACCGACCGTAAAATTTGATTCGATTGGTTCAGCCGTGTCGGTATTTATTGGTCTGAACAAACCAACAAACAACTAGACTAATTAGATTAGAAACCGAGCTTTGCCCGGATTTTTCTGTCTAAAAATTAACAAAAGAACATTCCCGTGTTTCCAGCAAAAGAAATTTGAGGCAAACCGGTCCAGGGGTTCATATGAGTTATGATCGGACATCCAAACAGAGTTTACTTCTTTATTTACATAAAGATATAGATATGTTAAGCCATGGTTCCAATGTTTTTACTTATGTTATTCGGTCTTTGCTTGTATTCTTTGATTGGTAATTATAAAAGTACTAGGCTTTTAGGGCGCTTCGCGCCCACCTTTTATTTAAACTTTTACTTTAAACTGTGGCTTTATAAGTAAGCATCTTCTCTTTGTACAGTATAAAACAAAAACAAACAAAAAAGTTTGCGGATTTCATAATATTTTTTCGCGCATTTTCAAAATTTTACAAAAAAAACTTTTAAACACAAATTTTTAAAATCTTGATCATTAATAAACTTTTCCTGGGATCACGTGAGGCCCCACACAAAATCGGTTCAGCCGTTTTGACGTTAATTGGATACAAACAAAAACAGACAAACAAACAAACAGTATCCCAGACAAGCTAAATTTATAAATAGATTTCGAAATAATCAATTAAGAGCCTTTCCTCGAAGTAAGCTGGTTATGGTTTTTTTAGTTCTAATTGTTCAGATTTATTAAATATTTATTAGTTTTGAACCTGAAATTTACTCAACTATCATTTATCAAAATAAATGATGAAAATATACACAATTAATCCAACAAACCGAAACAAGTACGCTAGAAAGCCATTTTCATGTATTAACTTAGCAACTGGCCAAGAACACTTTTTTATTAAAAGGGACTGTAAAGGAAAAATGAAAGGGGGTATAGGCTGAAAGCTAATCACTTTATTTCTTGTTTGCCTCGAGAAATCGACAGAAAACTGTGTCAGTTTAATACGAAAATTAGTATATATAATTCAGTATAGAAATGCTAGGTTTAAACAGATCATATTCAACAAATCTGAAAACGAAGATGGTTGTTTCCAATTATTAATTTATAATTTTTATTTTAAATAGATATAATTGATGATATTACTTATAAGTCCATATTACGTCACAAGAACTTCTACCAATAACAGTGCAGTTTACTGGTCACATGTCTCTGTCTGTATCACGTGACCAGTGTACTGCAATATCATTAGTGGGAGTTCTGGTGACGTAATACGAACTTGTAAGTATGAGAAAATAAATACATTAGAGATTTTATGACTGAACTCAGAGGAATGAACAGAAAAAAGTTTTTGTTTAATTGTAAACTGTAGATCAGTAATTTAAAAAAAGAGTATTGCTTATGTCCAATTCTTTAAAAGGTTTAAATACCCCTCCTAAAGCAAGCCCCTTCCCCCGATTTACGTAAAAGTTCATCAATTAGATCGACCCTCACCACCACTTTATACATATACATATAAGCAGTATGATTTAATCTTCCCGACAGGAACAATCTCAAGGAATAATAATTGTCTTAAAACTTTTTGAATGTGAATATTTGCAAATTATCTTTTTTCTTTCTTATGATCTGAGTTCGTTTGCCCTTTGTCCATTTGACAGCCCAATTAAAATAATTTTAAATATCATATCATGTTTTGTTTATTTATTTTCTTGTGGTTTTTAACATTTTTTTTTATCGATTTTGATGGTTATTATATCGTTAGAACTGACGAGGGTCAACCCAGACCGAAATATATTTTCAATAAATGTGGAACTAACGTTTGGTCTACCATACCACCATCACCGAAATTGTGGTAATTAACCATGTAAATGATATTTTAGATCTCAAACCAGTGTCCGAAGTGATATACCTCGGTATGGAGTGTTCGGAGAGGATATACTAGACGGAGATAATATGTATTACAACCTTCCTAAACGAAACTCTCCAAGTCCAAGTAAACTACAGCTGATGTCCCAAGAAACATGACAGTAGCAAGACGACTTACCAAGAAGCTTTGTCTTAGATCTTTGAATTTATTTTTGATATTCAGTCAACCTACTTTAACATATGTGATTCTTGAAATAAAAACCACTCCGAGGCCTGGCATTTCCAAACTGTGGTCTGCCTTTTTTGTGCTGTCAATATTACCGGAGATATTAATAATTTCGTTCCGATTTCAATTTTATCAAATAAAACCAAAATCTTAAGGATATTCTTTATATCTTCGGTAATGTTGAAAGCAAAAAAAGGCAGACCACATTTTGGAACTAGGGGCCGTTGTGGTTATTAATTTTAGAATTCAACTTCTAAAATAGGTTCATGCATAAATGTTGCAAATTATTTCAAAAATTAAAGATGAAATTTAGCTCGTGTTGCCATTGGCATCGTGGGACACACTGTATTTTTATAGAAGATTATAATGAATGTCATCTTCGTTAGGATTTTTTTTAATGTTTTTGTTTATTTTGAGAAAATAGTTAATAACTAAGTAAGTAAATAAGCTCTTCAATATCAGCTAGGAGTTATTCTACAGGGTGTCCCACGAAACATGACAGTAGCAACTTTAACATGTATAATTCTTGAAACAATAACCAAACAAACTTATCATATTTCTGACTTTTCCAAAATGTGGTCTGCCTTTTCTGGGCTGTCAATATTACCATGATACTACGAATTTCAAGAGCAGACCACAATTTGGAAAAGTTAGCAATATGATAATTTTGTTTGGTAATTGCTTCAAGAATCATATTTGTTAAAGTTGCCACTGTCATGTTCAAGATTTCAATCTGACATTCAATTTACTTTAATTCAGTTTCCACAACATTGTTTTTTTATTATTTTATTATTTTTTATTTAAATCATTATTATAATTTGCTAAATAATCTGAAGATCTCCTATCAGGTGGTTGTTTTAACAGAAGTCAAATTTTGACCGGAAATAAATTATCCTTGTCGTCTTCACCCACTTCCGGTACTTTGTCTTCCAGGTAGAGTGAGAACCAGAAAACTTTGGAATAGAAAGACGACGTATAGACTCAAGTTATGACTTTAAATAGTTCAGTGAACATGAGACACAGCTATTTAATAAGTTATTACACACACAATATTTGATTTGTGACAGTTTCAAATACACTTTTTTGCTTTAATGTCGTCTTCATATTCCACAGCTTTGTGGTTCTCACTGCATATTCAGGGGCATTATAGGGATATAAACAGTACACACACGGGGCAACTAGGGGGGATGGGGGGTTGACCATATTGACCATCTATGCTACTGAAACTAGGGGTCCCAAGTAGTTATTGTGAAAAGAAATAATTCCCTCCATAACTTTAAAACTGCTGGATAGCCTACATAGTTTTAAATTCTTAGCTTTTTACATACGGTGGTAAGCGATAATATCAACATAATGAAGACGACTTTTTATTTTAAGTTTTTATTGTTAACAAGCTTTTTTCGAGTTTACAAGTTAACAAGTTACTAAAGAGAAGCGATTTAATTGACAGTTTCTCGTTGTTCCCATTTTTTGGGTATCCATGCTGTTTATTAACTTGATATAAATCAAAATCGAAGTCGAAAGTCGTCTTCATTGAATTGATAAAATCACCGTAGGATGAACAATCATAAAATGGAATAATTTTTGATTTATTTTTCCAGCTCACGTTTATCTAATTACACACAGTCATCATTCATATCAGGTGATTTTACATTACTTTAATTTAATTAAATTTTTATATTGTTCCTATTATACATACCTGCAGTCAACGTGTATTTACGTAATATATATCTAAAGATAGGGCTCAAAAGCGCTCGGCTTCCTACCCTAGCCAGTGCGTAATCCAACCTAAAGGGTGTATCAATAAACATAAGCATTTACAATGATTCTTTTAACCATACTTGAATCAAGTAAGATGCTTTCTAAGTTTGTAACAGGAGAAGTTCCTTCCCGAAAAACAATCAGGCCTTTTAGTGAATATATTTATAATGTTAAATGTTACTCGCATTTAAGATAAAACTAAAAGATAATCTTTGATCTTTGAGCTTTCTAATAAAAATGGGTTTCCAAAAAGTTAATCGTTTTCTGCAGTGAGAATCAGAAAACTGTGGAATAGGGAGACGACATTGAAGCAATAATTCAATGAATTGATATTGTTATAAAGCAAATAGTTTTTAAAATCACTAAAGTGAAATGGGTCTGTTGACACTGCAAAATTATTGAGTCATAAGTTTTTTGGACTATTCAGTCATTAATTAAGTCCAAAAGTAGTCTTCCTTTTCCAGAGGTTTCTGGTTCTCGCTGACTGCTTTTAAAATATGATACAAGTAAACTGTCAAGTTTTAAAGACTATCTTTTCTTTGAAAGTAATTCGTCTGTTAATGACCATATTTAGTTTGGTGGTGTGGAATATTCAAAGTTGAAACCCATGAAACTCTGGAAAAGGAAACCGACATTTAATCAGTGTTATGTGATGTGCTTTTGAGCTGTTATTAAACAAGCTTTTTACCTTAAAAGTAAACTTTAAAAGTGAATGGGTTTTATTACTATATACAACTATATTTCTGTATTTTATGTTAAGTGGACTATCTAAAATCATAACTTAAGCCTATTTCTCGCCTTACTTTTCCACAATTTTATAAATATCCCTGTATTCTATAGTTCCCCCGATGATATCTGCGTTTGATAAAATAATCTCTAACACGCTCCCAACTTATCTGAAAATGTCTGCTTTGTTTGGTAGTTTGGTACAAGAACAGGTAACAAGTATATAGTCAAATAAAATATACAGTTAGACCCTAAATGGGCCATACATCGAAAGAATTTATCAAATGTCGTCTTGACAGCTTTTCAATGGATGTTATACTATTTTACGTAAATCTCAGTATTTGCGAAAATAAATAAATAGCCATAAATATGCGGGAACAGTTCTAAATAGTTCCATATAATCATCTAATTAAAAACTTAAAGGGACTGTAAAGGAAAAATGAAAGGGGGTATAGGCTGAAAGCTTATCACTTTAGCTCTCGATCGCGACCCATGAAAGTTTTATCTGATGTTCCTGTCTCGAGAAATTGATATAAAACTGTGTTAAAATTATATGAAAGTTCATATATGTAAAATTTAGAAAATCTTAAACTTAAATCATGTGACCAGAACTATCACCAATGGCAGAGCAGTATACTGGTCACGTGTCTCCGCCTGTATCACGTGACCGCTTTACTGCACTGCCATTGGTGGAATTTCTGGTCAAGCAATACAGACGTATAAATAATATTATGAATTAAATCTATAAAAATTAGAATTAACAAGTATAAAATTAGAATTGGAGTAAACCTAAGTTACAATTAGCTTTCTCTGGGATATCATTGTTTTCAGATTGGTTGCATATTTGCTGAATTTGATCTTTTTGAACCCACTATTTTTTTTACAAAATTGTATATATATTAATTTTCGTATAAATTTGACAAAGTTGTAAATCAGTTTCTCGAGATAGGAACATCAGATATAACTTTCATGGGTCGCGATCGAGAGCTAAAGTGATTAGCTTTCAGCCTATACCCCCTTTCATTTTTCCTTTACAGTCCCTTTAATATCTGCAACATTCCAATATCAGAATGTGAAGAATACGCGACATTTAATGAATGCTTTCGATGTATGGCTTATTTAGGGTTTAACTGTAAATAAAAAATCATTAAATAATTGACGTGTTATAAAGAGCATCAACTGACAAAGGTTATACAATACCCATTCCTGAACATGAAACAAGACAAAAAATGTCAAACCTTTTTATGTGACAGTTCTAACAGTTACGGATTTTTTTAAGCAAAGAAAAAATAAAATGTACAGTGAAATGAGGAAAAAAATCTGCAATGATCATCTATATAATAAAACAAGAAATTCACATATATTTTCCCGATAGCCGGCCAAATGACTTAACCGAAATTTTTTGTGGACACTCATGGGTAGCCAAGGGTGACATATAGACTGAACAAATTTTGAATTTTCTTTTTTAACATTTTTTCCACGGGCAACGCCGGGCCCTTCATCCAATATGTAATAATAATGCGAAATATTGTCAAACCTAAACTTTTTGCTTGGGGGAGAGGGCAAAATGTCTTCCCGCCCCCCCCCCCTACCCCACCAAGTCAAACCCTCAATCTTTTAAGGGTTAAAATTTATTGTAGGCTTCAATGGTGGAGGAACTATTTAATACACAACGTGACTTTCTTCTTTCTTCTTGTAGGTAATGCATATAATTTTTTCAAAATAAATATAAGTAAACCATTAATATACAATATGCAGGGGTGTATATAAGTAAACCATTAATATACAATATACAGGGGTGTATATAAGTAAACCATTAATTTACAATAAAAAGGGGTGTTTATGAGTAAAACATTTAATATACAATATACAGTAGTGTATATAAGTAAACCATTAATATACAATATACAGGGGTGTATATAAGCAAACCATTAATTACAATAAAAAGGGGTGTATATATGAGTAAACCATTAATATACAATATACAGGGATGTATATAAGCAAACCATTAATATAAATATACACACTGCAGGGATGTATATAAGTAAACCATTAATATACAATATACAGGGGTGTATATAAGTAAACCATTAATTACAATAAAAAGGGGTGTATATATGAGTAAACCATTAATATACAATATACAGGGGTGTATGTAAGTAAACCATTAATATTCAATATACAGGGGTGTATATAAGCAAACCATTAATTACAATAAAAAGGGGTGTATATATGAGTAAACCATTAATATACAATATACAGGGGTGTATATAATTAAACCATTAATATACAATAAACAGGGGTGTATATAAGTAAACCATTAATATACAATATACAGGGGTGTATATATAAGTAAACCATTAAAATGCAATATACAGGGTTGTATATGAGTAAACCATTAATATACAATATACAGGGGTGTATGTAAGTAAACCATTAGTATACAATATACAGGGATGTATATAAGTAAACCATTAATATACAATATACAGGGGTGTATATAAGTAAACCATTAATATACAATATACAGGGGTGTATATGAGTAAACCATTAATATATAATATACAGGGTGTATATGAGTAATCCATTAATATACAATATACAGGGGAGTATATAAGTAAACCATTAATATACAATATACAGGGGTGTATATAAGTAAACCATTAATATACAATATACAGGGGTGTATATAAGTAAACCATTAATATACAATATACAGGGGTGTATAAAAGTAAACCATTAATATACAATATACAGGGGTGTATATGAGAGTACTGGTAGTGGACCTGGACAAGCAAACCAAATCACGCTAATAACAGAATTTGCAGACAAACATGTAATTAAACAAATCAAAACAATAGAAGTAAAAAAGAATTGCGAAATAATCCCAAAAAGGTTTATCAAGCCTTATAATCCAAATTATAAACTATTTGGAAAATATATTTTTTCCCTGTTAAATATAGTATATTACATATTTTACAGTACTCATCTCTGATCACTGAATTAATAAACAAAATTATAATAAATAGAGTTTTTACACGTTTTTGAATAAAACCATAAAATAATTCATAAGAAAAAGGAATTTTGCGTGAAAAAAAAAATCATTTTGATTTCTAAATTATTTCCAATTATGATTGGTAGTTTTTAAAATTATGATTAATGATTTTTTTGGTTAAAAAGTTTTCCATGTAAACTTTGAAGAAAATGTTTGTATAAAATAAGTCCCCTCATGTATAGAAAGCAGTAATTAATTAACTTTGTGAAAACTTCAGACTATTATGAAATTTACAATGTTCATGGAAATAGAAGAAATGTTTAAAACCAAGAAGAACCAAACCTTGAAAAAAACATGTTTAAATGGTGACGACTGTACTAACTTTGAAATATTTTTTTTCTAGAATAAAAGTTCATGTGCTGATCAACTGTTTTATATATCTTCAACTATTACAACAATGGGTTGGGTGGTGATATCTCCGAATCCAGTAAAGGTAAGTACAGGATTATCCCAAGTTCCTAATATGACGTCACTGATTACAGAGGCGAGAGTGACGTCATATGAGGATTTTATCTCTCTATGTCAAGTAGACGACATTTCCCGTACATTGGAGCGCATCGAGAGTAAGCTATAACCTCAACACAGAACCCTGGGTTACCTACAAAAGATGAGACTGTGAATACGACATGAATTTCATGTCAAACAACAATAACATGATTTCGTTTAGTTTTCCGTCGTTATATCGTTTATTTAAAGAAAAACTTAAAGGAGGTTTATATAGACTGAAGCCTAAACACTTCACGAGGAGTTGATCGCGATGAGTTCTATCTGATGTTCCTGTCTCGAAAAAGTGATATTAAACTTTGTCAACGTTATTTCAAAACTTAATTATATAAGATGTGGCGAGGTATTAAGTTTTATACAGATTATATCCAGCAAATACCTATCGAATCTCAATATTACGATATTCCAAAGGAGCCTAAACATCTTTTAGGTACGCTCCTATCAAATTTGAATATATTTGTTAAAACAAATTCGAAATATAAGGAAGACGATTTTTCCGACTCAAATGCCTTAGCCTTTTCTCAAGATGCGTGTGTACACAAGATCCATTTCCGCCATGAAGTACACACATGTAACCCTCGCTCCTTCTTTCCCCGCCTCACCCCTCTATAACACATCCCAGTCAGTCATGTTAGGAGAGTTGGGCTGGTAACAGCTCCGACACAGGGAGCCTCTTGACTCCTTCATGCTGACAATGCAGATACTGAGCTGGCAGCAGGCGTGCTTATACCTCTAATCTCCCTATTAACTTCTTGAGAAGCTTACTTAGGAAACTTGTGCATGGCTCTGCCCGAAGTTTCCGCTATCTCGAGTTGCATTGCCTTAGTTCCATTGATAAGCCCTGTTATCCCAGTTCCTGTTGATCTGCTCCACCAACATGAAGCTCTACAACACTCCCATGAAGTACCATCAAATATCCATCATTAATTCCTTTGTTAATTTCTAAATCAACCAATTTTAACTCTGCCTTAAATGCAAATATTTCAAAACTTTCGTTTTAAATAAATGTTAGAAACATCCATTTTAGATCTCTTTATTTTATTATAGTGACTTTTAAAGTCAACAATATTACTTAATCATTCTTAAAAAGTATAATTGGTTATATAATTGATACGTTTGTTTCACGTGATCAGATTTTCGACCAATTACAGTGCAATATAATTGTCACGTGTCTCCGTCTGAATTACGTTTTGTATTTAACGTTGACACAGTTTTGTATCAATTTCTCATATAAATCGCGAACGACTCCTAAAGTGTTTAGGTTTCAGCCTATACCCCTTTTATATTTACTTAACAGCCCCTTTAATGATATACCAAAGAAAGAAACAAGTTTACATTTGCGGATAATTTTAAATATTAACGAAACAGTCAGTTGTCTCTAAAGTCTCATCCTTTGTGTCCCTAAAAGTTATTCTGGGCCCAGTATATGTTAATTATCAATCTGCTCTATCAGTTCTGGAACTAGAAACCTTAAGGACTAGGAGAGAGAAACTTTGTTTATCCTTTGCTAAAAAATGTCTAAAATCTCAAAGGCATTCTGCCCTATTCCCGGTAGAACCAGTCACTCACAACCACCAGCTACGGAACGTTGAACTATTTACTGTCAACTATGCTAGAACGGAGAAATACAGAAAATCTGCTATTCCCTATATGCAGAGAAAATTAAACTTCCTATGATATAACCTTATCTTAATCTGTGATAAAACCCATGATTTATTCAATTATATTCCTATGCGAATGTTAATCATATTATAATATGTATTATGATCTTGATTTATCTCTAATAAATCTTACTTTACTTTACTTCAACCCTTGTTGGGGGACCAGTACAAATGTCCGACCAACAAAGGTCGGACAGTACAAACGTTGGACTAACAACCGTCGGACTGGTACAAACGTCGAACTGAGACATACGTCGGACCAGTGCAAACGTTGGACCAGTGCAAAGGTTGAACCAGTGCAAACGTTGAACCAATGCAAACGTTGGACCAGTGCAAACTTTGGACCAGTGCAAAGGTTGGACCAGTGCAAAGGTTGGACCAGTGCAAACGTTGGACCAGTGCAAAGGTTGGACCAGTGCAAAGGTTGGACCAGAGCAAACGGAGGACTGGTACATTTATAAGGAAAAACGTCGGACTGGTACATTTATAAGGAAAAACGAGGGACTGGTACATTTATAAGGAAAAACGTCGGACTGGTACATTTATAAGGAAAAACCGTCGGACTTTTGTTGAGTTTGAAAATAAAATAATCCATTGCTATAAGAAATAAATTAAAATCAAACACTTATTGTGTTGAAAATCAAAGACAACTGAATATAGTCTCATCCTTTGAGGGTAGCACTGAATAAAGCAAATAAACCTGATGTTCAACCTATGAAATCTATAAGATCAACCAATTTAAGTTTGAAAGTATCAAAGGTTAATACCATTCCCAGGTTGCAAAGGTATAGGGATGATAATATTTGAGTTAGTGGCAAGAACTCAGTTCCTTTGGGTAGATTTTCATTAGACCAGTGAATAAAAGGAAATAACTTTTTAAAAAAAAAATCTTAAAATTCAAATAATTTTTTTTCCCTTGGTCCGACGTTTGTACTGGTCTGATGTCTGTACTGGTCCAACATTTGTACTGTCCGACGTTTGTCCCAGTCCGACGTGTGTACTATATAGTCCGACGTTTGTCCTCGTCCAACGTGTGTACTGTCTGATGTTAGGTTTGAACCCTCCGATGTTTGAACTGGTATCTTTGTGGGTAACCCTATAATAGCAGCTAACAAATTTGCAGCATTTTAGCAAATACCATGCCTTACAAGTTTTTATATTACTTTTAGAGTTCTAGCTAGGGCTTTTCACATCCATTGTTTTTTTTTAAATGTTGCTCTTATACCGATTTTTGTACGTGGTTTTTTTAAATCTAAATTTCTTGAAAGCAATTTTTTTCAATTCTAACCATTCATAGACAAAAAACCTAACCTAGGATTATGTGATGTGAGGTCCCACAAAAACTTTGGACCCGATCTTTCAGTAAAAAAAACTATCATTTTTCGAAAGTTTGTTGGAAAAATCTGTTCAATAGTCTATTCAAAAGTCTGTTCAAAATCTTTCGGAAAATTTGTTAGTTCCGTAAAAAAAAACATTCAGAATTAATACAGCCTGTGTATGTGTGTATGTGTGTGTAGGTGTGTGTATGGGGGTGTATGTGTGTGTATGTGTGTGTAGGGCGTCCCTAAATGTCTGATTTGATTTGATTTGTTGAAACGAACGATTTATAAATCGTTCAGGAACAATCAAGATCGTTTTTCTCATAGGCTTTTAAAAAACGATCGTTTTTTATTTCTCTGAACGATCAAAGTAGTTCGGCAAACGTTCTTATTTTTCTGACCGAGTAACGACACCAGCCTTAACGAAACATTTTCACGCTCTCAAAAATTTTATTCGTTTACAAAAACACTTTTCCCATCTCTAACTAGTAGTGGCATAAATAGTCTGAAAGTTGGCTTTTTATTGTAGAGCTTTATGGTTCTCCCTGTATCTTTAGTTTAATGTTTAGTTTATCAAGACGAAGTATGAACAAGGGCATCAATATGTTGAGAGGATTATGGCCGGGGTCCAAGGCACAGAGAAATCTTTTATCAAGGTAACAGCAGGCAATGGCATCATCAATATTGGAACTGAGACAACCACCCACCGTGGGTTTGTGCATTGACCTAAAATAAATTAATTTAATCAAAAAATTTCCGTCTTCTAGCGTATTCAATTTTAATCTCTTTCAACATTTGTTTCCTAATTAGAATTTAGCTTTTTTCCAAGAAAATAAACTTGAATATTTAATTTCAGGCCTATAAACAATATAATCTATATAATCTATATAATCATATATTGTAATTTATCCGTCGGATTGCAACCGCTATAAAAATTGAATTTTTTTTATCGCATTATTTGTTTAGGTCTTTTGCACACAACCTCGGTGGGCAGTTGTCTGATATCTAAAAAAGTCATAAATCGATCATCTCTAACATACAGGGTGTACCACAAAGAATGAGACTTCATGACGACTGTAGGGAATTCAAATTGTCAAATTTCCAATTATATTCATGATGATTCAGAGCAGCTATAAACATCTTTCTTCCTTAGAAAAATTATTAGATTAATTAACCATTAAAAGACCACTTTTAAGACAAAAGACTTAATTCAAACTTGGAATCGGCATATTTGAAAAGTATCGAGTCGCGTCGTCTTTACAGTCTCATGCTTTGTGGATCACCCAGAACCCAGAATATGTTAGATGATCTGGAAAAAAATTAAAAATTTGTTTCCACCAATGATAGCTAATTTAGGACTAAAACTGTTGGAAGTTAGGAGTTGAAAAATATCATTTATGGAACTCATTAATAACATTATTTGGTTGTATTACATCTGCCCAACGTTAAACCCGTCTTACGATACTTTGGACCTAACCGCACGTGGTTTTTGGTCCACACTTCATTAAAAAAGTTAGTGTATCCGACTTACTGTAGGTCGGTTAAGCACAGCTTTCTTAAGTTGGTTGCACTCTTCTGTAGGTCGGATGCACAGCATTAGTAGGTCAGATGCAACTTTAGTACCCTACTAACCGGAAAACCTAAAAATTCGTATATATTCATATTTTTGGTAATGTTACATCGTCTGTACGCAACATCCCCCCCACTGAACTTCTGACCTACTAACTTTCCGACCTTACTGCAATATCGGACCTACGCCAGCAGTTTATTTTTGTATTATTTGAGGGTTAGGTTAGGTTAAGACAATTTCTGGACCGAGCGCTGCGGCTAGGACATGCTAGGGGGCCAGCGCCGCGGCAAGGACAGGTTATGGGGCAGGGCGCTGTGGCCACAAGTACATCTAGCAGCTGTAAAACCACGTGCTAGTAGATCGGAATCGGATGTGTAGTATAGCGGATTTGGCGTAGGTCAGAAGTGGAGTATGTCGGATTTGCGTAGGTCGAAAGATACACTATCATATTTTTAGGTTTAGAATATGTAAAATACGTATTTTCCATACGTATGGCGTACGTATTTTCGTAACCATTTTCTTAGTAAAAATACGTATTTTACATCCGTAAAAATACGGATCTGACAAACGTAAAAATGTGTATGTAACAAACCTAAATAATCCAATGAATCAGGAATTTTTAGGATTTTCCTATACGTAAAAATATACACATAGGCATATTCAAGTTCTAACACCAAAATGATAAGAAGGTAATTTAAATTTTAACTTAAAAACGTTTTTTGTGCAGTTGAGGTTTCGTAAATATATTACGAAAATAAACGCATTCCTAGGTTTGGATCAAACTTTTAAACTTAACAAAAAATACAATATTTTAAGACAAAGAAGTAAAAACCGAAAAAATACTTAAACATAAGTAAAATAAAACCTAAAATCTTAAAAATATTAATTGGTAAAAATTATACGTAATTATTCGTAAAAATACGTTTCTGGAAAACCTAAGCATTTAAAAAAAACTGCTTGGTAATGGTATGATAAATACGTGAAAATGCGCAAGTTCTTTAGCAAAAAGTTAAAAAAGTGTAACTTTTGATTCTGTGAATCGGATTTTCCCTATTAAATGTTATGCAAGGTTATAATTTATAAACTATAGTAATCCTAAAGTTAAAAATGTCGTCATTGCTATTATATAAATGTAAACATTAAATTATTAAAGATAATTTTGAAAAATTTTCGTCATGTAAATAATACATTTACGAACCATTTTGATTTATTTATTCCATGGTTTTGGTTAATTTTTGGCGCTACCCGGATCCATATCAACGTTTCCTGATACGGATCCGGATCCGACCAAATGATACGGATCCGGATCCGAAACACTGGTCCCATGCCAAAATAAAATGTACATCCGACCTCAGCTGTCGTAGGTCCAATGTTGCGTAGGTACGAAGAATTGTAGGACAGAAGTAAGATTACCCATTAGTTATGGATTCTTCCAAAAAAACTCTATTTTTTAAATTCTTAGGCTTGGGTTGACAGTTGGCTTGATCTGATTGGAGAAGTTACATTTTACGTATCTGAATATCACCCTCAGGGGGTTAAATGGAACTCATAAACTTACATCAAGGGGTCAAATGAAACTACTTAACACAGCTCAGAGGGTCAAATGGAAATCATGAACGAACCCGTCATAGAGGGTCAAATGGAACTAATTCCTGTCCTCTGGGGGTCAAGTGGAACTCAAACAAGAAACTGTCCTCAGAGGGTCAATTGGAAGTCATAAACGAAACTGTCCTCAGAGGGTCAATTGGAACTCATAAACGAAACTGTCCTCAGAGGGTCAAATACAACTCATAAACGAAACTGTCCTCAGAGGGTCAAATGGAACTTATAAACGAACCTGTCCTCAGGGGGTCAAATGGAACTCATAAACGAGCCTGTCCTCAGGGGGTCAAATAGAACTCATAAACGAAACTGTCCTCAGAGGGTCAATTGGAACTCATAAACGAAACTGTCCTCAGAGGGTCAAATAGAACTCACAAACGAACCTGTCCTCAGGGGGTCAAGTGGAATAGATTAGATCCTACTTCCCAATAAAATCGAAATTAACTAATATCAATTAAATGTTATATTTTTAAAATTAATCCGTTGTAATATTTCATGATGTACACTGTACAGATGACTAAACTGAACATATATATGTATACAAAAGTATAAAGTATGTACATATTACAACAGCTGTATGTAAATCTTTTTTAAATGTTAGTTCATCCTTATTCTCAAACTATCATGTACTCTTACGAGTTCCTTATGTAATCTAGACTAAACTGTAACAGCACTTTATTCGTTAATATTTTGTAACCACAGGGGCCCATTAAACTAATTTATAACAAAACTACAGAAATTATGCAGTGTACACAAACCCATTTAAGTTGATTTCAAACTACTGGTATACTTATACTTCATACACATTAGTTAGTTTAAATGTCGTCTACCTATTTTAAAGTTTCATGGATTTCAACTCTACCAACCCCGGCATATTTTAACCAGTGCATTGTGTACTACGTGAAATGATAATTGAGGAACAAGGATGAACTCAAAAGACCGTTTCAGAAACCGGGTTCTCTAGAATGTTAAAAATAACATTTAAACTTATCATAAAATTATCAAAAAAAGTGAATATTTATTAGAATGAAGTCCCCTTCAATTATTCATTAGTGCAGGATATAAATAAGCTTTTTTTCTTTAATTTGTTGAATTTAGTTTTATGTCTAAAATAAAGGTATTTTTACAGTGAAAATATTAAATATTAAAAATATTTCTATTTATTCTTTAACAAGATATAAATATAAATATCAGCCATCTGCCCGGTAAGTAATTTTAAACCGAGTACATAGTCAACACTCGACATGTACCGAATAAACAAAATTACAGTACATACAATGATATAAGGCCGAAACGAGTACATAGGTATCACATAAAATGAAAATAGATTTTTTTACTATTACAATTAATATTAGTTGTACAGATTTTACTAACGATTTTAGTTAAAAATGAATAGATTCGATAAAATAAAAAATTACATTCTTTGCATAAATCTCACGTGAACTGTGTAAAAATTCAAATATAATAACCCACCCCTTTTCCTTCCCAACCCCCTATACCCCCTTAATCATCAAATCCCCAAATTGACTTTTACAATTTCTAATCAGCTGTAAATATAAAGATATTTAATATGCAGATTCGATACTCTGAACTTAATTCGTCAAGTTCAATCTAAATTTCTTTGAACAGCTAACGCAAATAAGATAACAATAAGATCTGAAGTGCTGACGCAAATAAGACAACAAAAGATCCTGAAGTTGAGTTTTTATGCTGTGAATCTGTTGATTAAGCATTGATCTCTATCTCATGCAGACAAACGGATATATTAGATTCCTATTCTATATCCCGGCGTGGTGATCATAACCTTCATCAATAACTTGAATTAAGTGATCAAGCATTTATCCTGAAATGTTGTCCACATTGGATATCGAGATCAAAAGATTAACGAAACTCAGCACTAAGATTCCGACCTCTGGTTGATAGTATCGAACTCATTTTACATTTAAGGCTTAAAATATTATAAATCAATTAATATATTTTTTCTACTACTGACAGCAGAATATCTTATGAGGAGATTACAAAGGGTTAAAAAATACGATTTTACAGTACACATCAAACATGTCAGTTTGCACCATAATTTCCAATAAGATTCAGTTTTCTTTCTAAAGATTGATAATCTGTGAAACAACGCAAGGACCCCCCCCCCCCCCTCTCTGAGATATAACGTGGAACGGCCAGGGCTAATTTATGTTGTAAATTTGTAAATTCGTTAAAACGAAGTCTCAACGAAATGATTATTTTGTAAGAATCACTTGATGATGATTTTTAATCACATTTTAATATTGAAAAAACATCACAGATACAAAAACTGTTAAATGAAACACAAAATTTAAATTATATTTTACAGCAATATATTAGGGCACTTATGTCAAAATATTGAAAATAATAAAAGAAGAATAATCATACCGATCTGTTCTTCAGTAGGTAGAAAGTTAATTTAAGAATTGAAATGAATTCTATATTTAAAACTTGTAAGAAGAAAGTAGAAAAATAACCAGCTGCATGAATCAATTCTCTGTACAATATTAACTAGATCATTTTTGTTACAAACGGTAGGCATTACAGTAAATTAGATAATATGTTTACAGGGAAGTCCAAAAAATATGAAAATATTTGTTAAATATAGCCGAACTGCTCTCCAAATAAGATACAAAGGAGTTTGAAAACTGAAAAATTTCCGATTTTTATTTAACAGTTTATTCTCATGTTTATTTGAACCACCTGTAGTTAGTTCAAGAATAAAATGATGATGGGATGAGTTTCGATAATATACTGATGATGGGAAAATCCGCCCAAGATCTGAGACGAAAATCCGCAAAGTCATGAAAACGGAAATCGACAAGTGCTGAGCACTTCTAGCACCAGCTGAAGAATGGTGCCTTTTTCTGGAACCTCTGTGTGAATGTATTACTAAAGTTTCTGAACTTTTCTGTTGTTCCAACATGCCCACGGGATCTGAAATAAATTAATAAGTTTGGAATTAATCATTTTTTGTTCAGCCATGGGTAAAAATACTCATGCGTTCCAGATAAACGGTGAAACAAAAATCAAAATTATTCTTGAAAATTTGGAAGAATGATGAAAATATGAATACAGAAATGAAAACCTACAATTTTAAACTGCAAGTGGTGTTTTTTATTTGTGGAGACTTCCGAAAATCTATAAAAGTTAGGATATAGGACATAGGTGTAATTTTTCTCCAAAAGTGCAATTTCAATGATTGGGATGGAATATTGTTCCCCTCTATTTTTTTATTCAACGGCTGAGCCGATACGGCACAAATTTTATAGATTTTTTGATACAAATAGACCATGAAAAAATTTCACCCGGAAAAAAACGTCGACATTATGTTTTTTTTGAATTGGCCAATTCAAATAGAAAAATCCGCGAAAATTTGAGAATGACTAAAAATGGCGACTTACAGTGCAACAACTAAATTGTTAATAGGATAGGGATTGGCACAAAGCGCCCTAACAGCTTAGTAGTTTTTTCGTTTTCCAAGTTAGCAGTAACAAATCTAAGACACTTAATTTCATTTGGGTTGAACATAATGGTATGTGTGGGGGGTAGATTTTAAATTATCTATAATTCCTTTGACAAAATAGGGTTCAAGTAAAAATGTTTAGTATTTACCTCTCGACAAAAACATTTGGCATCTGCACTAGTTGAAGGGGACTCTTCCCGTCTTTCAGGGCCTAGAAACAATCAGATTTTAAATATCTATGATAATCAGATTTTAAAATATTTAAAATAGTTAGATTTTAAATATCTATAATAATCAGATTTTATCATATTTAAAATAACTAGATTTATAATCCAGTGAAGAGATTATTGTTAACATATTGAATTAAGTTATAAGACTAATTTTAACAATTTGAATTCAGTGGAAATATCATATTTTTAGTAATTTGAATTAGATTTATTTTTAATCATCTTTTCACAGAATTGGAAGATGATTTTTAATAATTTGAAATCCGTTAAAACTTTTTAATAAGTTAAACTGAATTGAAAGATTTTTTTTTAATAATTTGAACTTGAATTATTTTTAATGATCTCAACAGAATCGAAAAATTCTTTTTAATAATTTGAATTTAATTGAAAACTTATTGTGGATAATTTGAAAAGATTTTTTTAACAATTTGAATATATTAAATGAAGTTTAACCTGTGAGAGATTGAGTATCTGTCCTCGCATAACTGACATCTGTTTCTCAAACATCTGTCTGTCAAATCCTTTGTCAGTCTTTAAAAAGATTAAAATTAAAATTAAAAATGAATCATTTTTAAAAATCCGTTTGCCATTTGAATATCTTCGATGTGGCTTGGGTGTTTGCTAGTAGAACACTACTAACACGTTTGGTGCATTGAAGAAAATACCAGTTAAGATAAATAAAAATGTGAATAAATCACTTTGCCTAATATTCGAAAATATGCTCAGTCTCTTTTCCAAAGATTTTCAAAAAATAAAATTTTAATTTTAATTTTTACGTTTAATACGACAGAATAGTATCAATTGCACATTTTCAATGATGGAATTGAGTATTAAAAAAAAATGAAAATAAAGCATGTCAGATTCTTTTGAAAATCTTAGGAAAAGGGACCTAGTACATTTCGGACACATTTTAAAGGTTGAATCGGTATTTTAGGGAAAAATGTTGCATCGACGACGACCCCCTCCTCTTCCCCCAATCTATGGGATTTGAACCTACTAGGAGCACTGTTTAACACAATACAAAGATATTCAGTAGACTTGAACCTCTAAGCACACTTTTTTCATAGACACCTGCAGTTGTCAATCTCAGAAAGATAAAAAAATTGCAAGACAAACTTGTCGTTACCTTAAACAGTGTGTACATATCATCGCAAAGATCCTAAAAAAAGGTTTGTTAAAAATACGTAATAAAGTTTCCTGATCTGATGTTATCCTTTTTATCGTTTGTTTCCAATAAAAGTTCAATACGGCTGAACCAATCGGACCAAACAAGTTTAAAGAAAGACCACGCATGACAAAAGGTTTATGGACGACAAGGGACCGAATTTAATAAATTTGAGGGGTCGCTAAACTGACTGCCTCCGGTTCAAATTTGAATCACCTATTCAAACCCATACTGGGACGAATTTTATGAATTTGAACTGCCTACTGCTGATTCAAATCCTTCTTTAATATTTAACTTTAAATCGTGGTTCAAATTTGAACTGGCAGTTGGTAGTACAGCGAAGTAGCTAAACTTCATTAAACTCGGTCCCAGAGAACACAAATTTTAACCCGACAAACTATTGTTCTTTGAAATTGCAAATCCTCTTAATGAAAAAAAAACTAATCCGCGAAATCTTTAATTTCTATTGTCTAACTAATCGACCTGAATCCATTCTGTGAACTATTGTCCTACCTGAACTACGTTCATATCTGCCAGTTTAGACTGTATTAGGTCCCTAGTTTCTGTTGAGAAGGGTTCCTAATTACAAAAATACATTTATCGAGGACTAACTTGTCAACTTTGATTTATTGTACTAAGTCCTAACATAGGCTGCAGGACAATTATAAACTTTAAAAAATGTCAACCTACCCCTCTTAAAAACATGTTTTGATTGTAATTCTTATGTAGCTAAATTGTAATTAACAAAGGGGTTAGTTAAATGGGATATAAGAATATTTCCAGGTTGTGAATATCCAAAAGATGGGAAACAGTTGTAGTTCAATTTTTCTTCTTCTAAATCATTTCTGAGAATGTAAACAGGGGTGTATGTTTTTCACTAAAAATCATAATAAAAAATGATAATTTAATTTTTTTACCTTTGCATATGGTAACCAGGCCCAATGGTAGGGATATGCTCTCCAGGAGTCAGGATGCTTTATAGGAAATGCTAGTCCGTTGTCTGCAAATATATATCCAATCAAACTTAACCCTTTGTTTCTTTAAATCTATGCACATATTGTAGCGACCAGATATCGTTGTCCATGTGAAGAGGAAATGCGGGAAAAGGAAAAGATAAATCCGCAATCCATTAGTTAGTGGTTTGTAACCATATGTAAATATACAGTTTTATTCTGTTCATTTGTATGTCCGATCATAACTCATGAGCACATTTGCTGAATTGCCTAACATTTTGATTGGGGAACTCGGTAGAACCTCGGGATTGGTTTTAACTTGGTTTAACATTTTTAAAATAAGTGGTTTGATTTATATGGGAAAGTTTAGATTGCCAGGAAAAGCTGGGTTCCCAAACTAGTATACATAAAGTTGCAATCTCTATGTGTGTGTATGTCTGATCATAACTTATAGACCCCATTTCCTCAAGTTATGCTTTGGGGATTTGGTAGAACCACGGTAATGAAAGATTAGTTTAAAAGTAAAGCTTTCAAAGGAGGAAAATAAGGTTTGGCAGCCAAAATACTTAAGCTGGGCCTTGATGTATAGATATAAATAAGTCATGAAAATCTTAGATTAAAGATTTCATATTGGCAAATTGGAATCTTGGAAAAATACTAGAAAAGATTAAACCAGAATCTCAAAGTTCTTAAAATGATAAAATGCTAGATAATTTTAAAGCCAGAAGTTTCAAATCTCTTAAATTAGGTGGTAATATTCATAAGACAGTGTTCAAATCGAAATTATTAAACTAAGTAGAGAATCCATGAGAACGGGGAGTGTTAGTTTGAATATATTCCTATAGCAGCAACATCAATGAAAGCTGGGGTCTCCACCTCATATTCGGCAGTATCATCATCATCTGAATAATTACATTTATCAATATCATCATCATACTCAGTAGCATCATCATCATCTGAATAATTACATTGATCAATATCATCATCATACTCAGTAGTATCATCATCATCTGAATAATTACAGTTATCAATATCATCATCTGAATTACTACAGTTATCAATATCATCATCATACTCAGAAGTATCATAATTATTTGAATTATTACAGTTATCAATATTATGATCAAACTCAGAAGTATCAACATCATCTGAATCATTACAGTTATAAGCATCATGCTCAATAGTATCATAATTATCTGAATAATTACATCATGTAATATAAAATTAACCAACCTGTGTTTTCCTTTAAAACAAGTTTTTGCTTTTCGTACTTGATCAACCAGTTGTCGTTCCCCCTGTCCGTGTTCCTGATAATATAGTCCAGGCAGACCAACCTCTCAAACAACAACTACAACAAGAATACCAACATCAAGATGCATAATTGTATATGTAGATGGCATAATGTTCCTTAAGCAGGGGTCCATATAATTCGATTTCTTATCCCAAGTAGGATCTTGGTTGAAAGTACATTTAGGGCCATTAAAATACATTTTCTGTGTTTTTGTGAACACTGGAAAGTTTTTTGTTCAAGTGTACTGCACTTAAGAATTGTGTACTGCATTTAGGGTGTTAAAATATAAGGAATTTTTTCTACAACTTGACATCATACTTCCAATTGTTCCCAACAACATGGTTAATTTCTGCCCCTAAGATCCTCTCCTGCCTGAGGTGGAAATTAATAAATTTGGAGAAATAGTTGAAACTCTTCTCTGACCAGGAGTGCACTAAAAAAAGGGTGAAACATTTTTTCTAGAATCATTTTTGCTGGCGCTGGGTTTTAAAACATCCCTGGAAAATTTGAAAATGTCGTCTTCATTATCAAAAATCCTCAAAATAAGAATAAATGTTTTCAAAAGTAACTCTCAGACAATGACAAATAAAAAATATTGAGAAATATTACTTATATAGGAATGCGTCGAAAAATTATCGATGACTATTCTGAACGAGTTGTTTTGAATTAAATTGATTTGTTTACGATCCGAGTTGAATGTTTAATTTTGTATGGACGCAACGTTCTTCGGTATGAGTCGTTTTTAACAATTTTCTACTTATGGAGTTTAGACGCAACAAATAGATATAGGATTAGTAACGATCAAAAGCGCTTATTTTTCGCCGTAAGCCTATACCCCTTTTCATTTATTAGCGAACACTCTATTTTAGATATTTACAGAAAAAGAAAAAAAAATGGAAAAAACAACTCTCTTAATTTTCTACCTGGAATTTTTTAGAAGTTTCCTTGTCCAATGGATCCGAATCGAACCTGGATTATTTGACATTTATTAAATTAAAAAAATAATTGAATCAGAATATCATTAAAACAAATTTTACTGAGAAAAATATACCCCCCCCCTCCCAACCCAACCCAACCCAAGCAAATCCCCTTATGGTGTCGATAATTAACCTTTTGGGAACATATCTTTTGACTTTGTAATTGATCTTTCAAGATTTGAGGGAGAAAACATTAAAAATTTAATTTTCTATTTGTTACACTCGAATGTATTTCCTTAATGTCAGGGAAAAACGAATAAACATACTGAGATGAAGGGGAGGCGGAGGGGGGGGGATTTTGAAGATGAAGGGGAAGGAGGGGGGGGGGATTTTGAAGATGAAGGGTAAGGAGGAGGAAAGGGGGGATTTTGAAGATGAGGAGAATGATATTACCTTCTTAGATGTGCATCCGCATCCTTGTATCCTGATACAAACATCTGGTAGGAACCAATCTTGGGTGGTAAACCTAAATAAAAAATCTTGAGTTTGGACCTAAAACAAGATCATTTTTATATATTCAGCGTGAGAAAAAAAACAGGGAGTATCGATGTTTTGAAAAACATTTTCAAAATTATGATTTTATTCTGATTTTAGGCATAAATAAAATAAAATGTGATAAAAAAAATTTAAAAATTATTTTAGAACATTGAACAAAAAAATCCGCGAAACAAATTTTTTTTTTGAAATTGTTGAAAAAATGTTTATTTTTTTCAGCTTCAAAGCTTCATCAAAATTCATCAAAAATTAAATGAGAACAAACAAATAAGCCCATTATTTGCATTTTTTAAGTCATAACATTTATTGCAGATTTCCATCCTAATTTTTGTGCAGAATTTTTGTTATCTCATTCAATTTTAGATGATTTTTTTTTGGAAAACAATACAGTGAACATTTTCTCAACAATTTTTTTATTTTTTTTAGAAAAAAATTAGTTTTGCGGATTTTTTTCGAATTTTTCAAAAAAAAAATTTTGATTTATTTATTATCACATTTTATTTATTTATGCCTTATATCCGAATAAAATTAAAATTTTGTACATTTTGTCCAAAACATCGATAATACCTGTTTTTTAGTTACCCTGTATATATTAAATAAACAATAGAAAATGTTCTAGACTAATTTCAAGAATATATATATATATTCATATATATCACCTGTTTATATATACATTACATATACATATACATATACATATACATATACAGCGCAATAAACCCAGCTTTGGTACAAAGCTTGCAAGCTTTAAAGTAATAAGCTGATAGATATTATCTTTGAGGAAAAAGTTAAAATATAACTTTTTTTTCAAGTTTTAACCTTTTTGACAGAATAAATTGCTTTTTACCAGAGCAGCTTGTTGTAATCAGTTATATAATAATAAAATCTATTAATCATACTGGACTAAAGTCGCCATTTTGGAAGGGGGGGCGGGGTAGGGTAGAGTAGGAATATATAATATAATGTTTGATCATTAATTACCTATTCTGTGAAATCTTCTCCCCACCTAAAACAAAAATTTATTTATATTCAAGAATATCAATCCATCAATCAGTACATTATACAACCAAACAATTCTAATAATACTTTTATCAATTAATTGAAATCTATAAAACATACTGGACTGCTCTGTTAGCGTGGATATATAGAACGTCTTGAAACCGATCGAACACACTTTTTTGTGTGGGACAGGACATGCCTCAAGGGAAGGTTAATGGATATGGGCAGTCAGAAATATGACATAACCAAAGAAATATATTTTAAGGAAAAACACCACCCGATTCAAATAATTTTAGTTTTAAGTCGTCTCCCTATTTCAGAGTTTTCTGGTTATCACTGTAAAACCTACATAATTATAATAAAAGTTACCTTAGGGAAGTGTTCATTGACAATTTTTTTTGCTTTTGACTTTTCAACATCAATCCGTAGATAGTTAAACGTCTCACTCGCAAGCTTCACCACCTTGAAACACAAGTCTATTACGAATATTGTCTAAGATATGGTTTGCAGTGAAAAAAAAATAAACTTTAATATACAATACATGTCGATTGTCGATGGTTGAAGATTAGATGTTTTATCGAAAAATAACATTTTAAGAATTTTTAAATTAAAAAAATTTGATTTGAACATGTCGATATATTAGTATCAAAAGAATGCACTCTTAAAATTGTCACATTTAATGATATCAGATATGAGGGGCGAAAAGTTTTCAGCAAAAATTACGTTTGCATTGGAATAAAAGAAAAGAACTAATTGAATGACATTACTGTCAGATCCTAGGGGCCCTAACTTTATATAAATTTTTGCCAAATCGTTCATAATCGAAGAATTTCAAATTCAAAGAAATAATTAGTAAAAATTAAATAATTCAAAAATTATTCAAAATTTTCGATAATCAAAAAATTCACAGAATGAATTTTACGAACTTAATATACAATATAAATGAATAATTTCAAAAGTTTAGGGTTTTTATGAATATGAATTAAAAAACAGAGAAACAGAAAAAAAAATTTATATAAGAATTTGAAAACCATATTTAAAAAATATGTCTTACCTTTGTTTTAGGAACTACGTTTAGGCCTAGTTTTGTATCTACTAAACTAGCTCCAGCCTCAGACATATAACCCTGTAATCATATTATCAGTTATTAAAGGGACTGTATGCGGAATATTAAGAGACCTTCCCTGATATCACATTATTAAGTACTACCTTGGGAACCCGGTTTTGCCTAGAAACCAAACTTTTGCTCACACAATCAAATCGGTCAAAAGATTAACGTGTTATGTTCAGACATTTAAACAACCAACAATATACAGATAAGAATAAGTGAATGACGTAAATTAATGTAACTGGATTTAAACAGTTGTTCTGACGTATTCTAAAATCTACCCAAATATGGGAAATAATCTCTATAATTTTTTGAGTCAATTTTTTCCGTTTTACTTTATACGAGTTTTAATAAACACTAATTTTAGAGATTGGTCTAATTGAATTAATGGTTGATTACTTGCTTACTTTCTTGATTACTTGTTAGTTTGATTGCGTGCCTAATTGATTGGTTTATTGCTTGCTTAAATATTTGTTTGATTGGTTGATTGCAGAGAGAATTCATATTTTGCAAATTCAGTTTAATTCGATTCAAATTGTTCTCTTTAAATTTTTTACATAAAATGATAAAAAACGTATTTTCAGGTTTAAACATTTCATTGAATAAACAAACGTCTAAATTTACGGGTCAGTTTTGGAGTAAAATCGGCGATTGATGATAATTTGTATCAATAAAAACGTCCTTATTTCATCTTGTCCCAAAAATAATAATAATCCCTTTAATGAGACTTTTTAAAGGACAAGAGACGAACAGACACAAGACAACACGTAAAGAGACAAAATATCAGGGACATATCTAATAAGTTTCAAGAAGTAGTTAGGATAATTAGACTAAGTTAATCCACTTCTCTTGTGCACCAGTTCACGTTTAAGCCAAGTGGTTCAACTTAATCTACCAAGTTTAACTACTTCTTGCTAATAATTTGAAGATGATTTACCTGGTTTGGAATAAGACAAGATCGTCCGAAACAACAAGGACAACACATCCTGTGCATCCATTTCGTCCACTTAGGATTCAATCGACCGTACGGCTCCTCATCCTGAAAAATTAATAAATTAAAAATTTTAAAATTAAATAAATATGTTCTACTTTCGTAGTTGGCCATAGAAGGTTTCTTCATCGTCAGCCTGTGGATGGGTTACTGCTATACATATACACATCCCAGTTCTATTTCGAATTAAGAATCTGGTAAATTATGAACCCAGCACGAAAAATTCCCCCCAAAAAACCTCCTTTGAACTATCGGATAAAATACCTAGGGTAGTGGTGGTTACTGGTTAGTTACCAAGCTTTATGATAGGATAGAATAAAAGTGAAACGTGTTAATTTACAAACATATTTAGCTTTAAATAAAATAAAATAAAAAATTTTACAATAAAAATAATTCATGAATACTGTATAGCAGCCCAGTGGCAAGGCTGATGCACATAACAACATTTTACCTTAGTTATACAGTTAAAAAATATTTTCTTCAATAGAATTATTTCAACAAAAATGTACGACAAAAACAAACCTTTCAATATTTACATGCTTCAATGCATGTAACCGCTTATCAAAAACCTTTCCGCGTCAACCAAAACAAAATGGAAATACATTTTACGACAAAAATAGAATATTTAACTACTTAGTTAAATATAAGTTTTTTCGTGTTTAAAATTAAAAATATAAAAAAATTCCAAAAATCTAACAGCTTTTAAAGTTTATCCATATTTGAAAATGAAAAAGAAGTTTTCGTTTTAAATAAAAAAAAATCGGAATAACGAAAAAATATCAGTTCTTTCCACTTTTTTCTAAAACTCTCTACCACCACCCCCCCCCCTCTCCGTATAAAAATAGTAAACTAAGAAATCAAGAGTACTCAATTCCATTAGCAATAACCCAGTACATTATATATAGTATATAGCAGTCAGCAAAATAGGATAGTACTCCTGTATTAAATATAGAAATAACCCTAATTGTTGAATATTAACTCTGTTTAATTTTATTTTCTGAAGTAATAAGTTCTCGGTAGAGAGTGATTATGTGAGATGAGATCCGCAAGAAGCCGCATCTTGGGCGACCCAGACCGCCTACAGGAATATCCGACCCGTACCGTAGTGTATAGAGTTTGAGAGAGTAGTATCTGGATAGATACATACTTAAGAAGACAGAAGGAGTTGTATCTGGATTGATACACACTTGAGCATACATAGAGTTGTATCTGGATTGATACATACTTAAGAATACAGAGAGAGTTGTATCTGGATTGATACACACTTGAGAATACAGAGAGAGTTGTATCTGGATTGATACACACTTGAGAATGCAGCGAGTTGCACCTGGATTGATACATATTTAAAGAACTATAGGAGTAATGCATTTGCTTCACACCAAATGTGTCATGTACTTATAGGTACTGATGGGCATCGTGTAGATATTAGTTTATAAACATTTTTTTTTACTTTTAGTTTTTAGACTTTTAAGACGCTCCTCGATAATTTGAGAAGTATAAACAATTTACAAAATGTTATTCAAAACAAGTTTGCTTTTATTACAGTATGCACCAATTTTATTCTGACCAAGGGGAATTGAATAGAAGGAAGGGGCGATAGGGTTTCCGTATACTTTGCTGTGGCATTTTTGGACTGCTGAAGAACTAGTTTTTGCGTAACATCAATAACAAAGGCAGCCGATCTAATGTAAACAAACATGAGTTAGTATACGGTGAATCTTTATCTAACGCCAGAAATGCCAGATGTTTGTTTATCATTTGTGTTATTGTTTACAATCTTTATTATTGTTGTTACGCAAAAACTAGTTCTTCAGCGGTCCAAAAACGTCAGAGCAAAGTATACGGAAACCCTATCGCCCCCTCATTCTATTCAATTCTCCTTGATTCTGACCAAAGATATTCACCAAAACGATTTTTCAAAAAACAACAAGTTTTCGTTTTCTGTTTGAAAAAAAACCGGGTTGGCTAATAGCTTTGATAATAATGTGATAAAAGCAAACTTATCGAGAATAACTTTTTGCAATGTGTTCAATAACTCGCATCTTTGTGGAGAACTTTAAACGTCAAAAAAAAGCAAAATGTCTCCAAACGAATCTCAAAACGATGGCCATTGGTACTTATACTTATAGAGAGATGAATGTACCTATACACTGTGTACTGTTTGTTACCTTAGGTTTGAAAACTCCAATAGTCTCTCCCTCGATATTCTTCACAAAATAACTTCCAGAGGAACCCTGAAATATTATCATTTATGGGACTGTAGGCGAAATTTTAAGTGACCCTTAAGTCACATTTTCTAAAGAAACCACGTCGGAAAATAACAAGCTGTCAGCGAAAAAGATAAATCTATCTCATTTATTCTGGATTAGAAATGGGATTAAATGATACCGTTGTAAATCGGTCATGTCGCACTTTAGGGGAAGTTTAATTGAAATTACGTCTATTAGTTTAATGAATTTATCTAACATTTTCACACTATTTGGTTGATTTTGAAAAACATCAAAAAACACACAAAATAATATACTAGACACCCAAACATAAGTAATTTTTGGACTAAGAAGTTTTTTTCTCTTCCGAGATTTTATTTCTAACTGTTAAAATCTAGCAGAATTCTTCTATTTAATTATATTTTAACCATTTTGAATGCATTTACTTGAAAAAATTAAACGAATATACAAAATTCTTATTTTTATCAAAAGTTGGTTTTAATTCAAAAAATTCATTTTATTTTCACTCTCGTTTGCATTATGAATGCAACATCTTAAATTGACAGAAGAGTATTTTGAAGAATAAAACAAAATTAAAATATTTTATATCTATCTATGTAGTGAACTAAAGGTCGTCATTATAGTCGCATACTTTGTGGCAGTGCTTAGGATCCGGATCCGTTGGATCCGCGCAAAGTTTTGGCTTCCTGGATCGGGATCCGGATCCGCAAAAATATGTGGTAAAATAACAACCAAAATTATAAAATTTTCCTAATTTCTAAATGGTTCATCACGTTTTAGGATAAAAATATGCGAAAAAAATTAAAACAAAAATTTGAAAATTATTTTTTGTTAAAAAAATTCAGTAAATCAGTAAAGAAATGTCCTGGATCCGGATCCATTTTTTTCCAGTGCGGATATAGGATCCGGATCCGCATCAAAATTAAATGGATCCTAAGCACTGCTTAGTGGGTAACCCTGTATGTGATCTATCTGTACCTGGTATATACGGGTTGGGTTGACCCCTGCGTCTATCGCTGCTTCTGCTTGCCGAATTACTTCAGTAAACTCTGGGTCATCTTAAAAATTATAAAATAATATTTAATATTTATAGCATCATTAAAAATCAAAGAAAACATTTAAAATTGAAAATGGTGTATATTACTTTTATCTTACCACAATCATCATTGTCCCATGAAATGGAATCATATTCTTTTTGTTCATGTTGTGTTATACATGCCCGTTCACTTTCGGTGGTCGACATTACGAGTTTAGGAGACTTTAATATATAGTTAACCGAGACATAATGATATCTGGAAATTGGTTATACAATTAATCATTGAAAAACCAATCATTTTAACGTCACAATTTATCTACGTCATGTGTTAACTGCACCAATCTTTAAAATTGATTCACTGGTTTACTTTCCCGCATTTATAGAACAAATTTCTCACGCATTTTCTAATGCATGAGGATGTAACATGATCCACATTGAATGTTAAGCACACCTGTTCAATTGGATAAAAGAGTGTTCTAGATAACGCGTATATATTCAAAATTACCATGTAACCTTTGCTATCAACAAATAGTAAAAATCGTTATTTGGATTCAAGTACAATGTTAAAAGCTGCTTTCCACCCGAACTAAACTGTTAAAATGCAAGGATGAGGCCTTAAAAAAACATCTGCTATGAAGCCAATGTCAATGTCATGGGGGTAAATCTTATTGTAGATAATTATTAAAGCTTTTTTAAAAATAAATATTGATCATTTTGAATTGTGGGTTATTTGTAAAAAGGGACTTGCGGATTTATGCTGCAAAAAAAGAAAATTATCAGAATTCGGCACTTCAAGAAAAAAACGTTACAATTTTCTAATAATTTACTTCGTTTCAAGTTATTATGCAAGTACGTTTTAACATATGTTTGAAATTTTTCTAATCTATTTTGCAAAAAAATTATTACCATGTTTGATTTTCATAAAGTCAAATTTTAAGATAACATATTTATCTTTCTTTATGTTCTTCTTTTACCTTTAAACCTTAAAAAAACAATTTGCACGATAACTTGAAAGCAGACAAAATAACGTGTCCGAAACAAGTACAAAAAAGTGTTTCATTGCATCATAATTCATATTATTATTGGCTAAATTTTAACTGCATATCTCGACAACACAGCTTGCTAGACACTCAAGCTAGAACTCTCTTTGTTACATATATTGTGACACATTAGGAGATAAGAAGAACTTAGATAGAACATACGCATGTATAATATCTACCAGGGGCTAATAATATCACTAACATTTGACCAGGTGTGTTTTTTTTCTTTAAAAATCTCCCCTCTCGTCTCAATTTTTTTTCCAGATTCTCAAATAATAAAAATAGTTGATTTTTTTGAGAAAATAAATAAATTTTTGGGTAACAGTGTAAAAATTGCCCTTTGGTGTACAATTATTCTTTTTTTTCTTAAAAATATATACCTCTGACCTTGACAAATTCAACTACTTGATTTTAAAAATGATAATACAAAATTTGCAGTAAAATTGTACAACATTTTAATCTTGCTTCTCTTCTGTTTCAGACCTCAAATAGAGAGAATAAGGCTTCTTTTCTCACGTTTTCATTCCCCCCCCCCCTCCCCTTCCCTTCCTTCAGATAGCTTTAATTCAGAAAATAACTTACTGCTTTAATACTTGCTTAAAATAGTTCAGTGACCTTATCAAAACTTTATTTTGACAGCGCGCTAAATAAAATATCATAAAATGTAATAACTACCCATCATATCTAAATTGAAAGAATAACTTAAACTTTTAATAGTTTTAGAGCTTAAATTCTCTAATTTCTCAACCAGATTTCTGAACCCAACACCACCGTGAAACGTCATAACTCATTCAAAAGATTTATAATCATTACTGACTAACTTCAACCCATAGAAACTAAAATAAACTCATTTAATTTTTCACTGATTTATCTGTTTAAGTGATCTAGCGGATTCATGCTACAGAGACAGTGAAGCAAATTTATCGGAATTTAACACTTCAAAATACCAACTATATTTTCCTATCATTACCCAGATAAAATTTCAAAGTTATGGTTCCCGGATCCGGATCCAAGGGACAAAATATCAACCGAAAACTACAAATAAAACTTTTTACTTTCAAAAACCAAATCTGAACTGTTGAAGAAGAGAAATTATAAAAATTTCCTGATCTCTGAAGTCATTGAATGGTTCATCAAATTTTAGCATAAAAATAATTTAAAAAAAGAAGAAAATAATGTCACAATTTCAGGATCCGGATCCGCATCAAAATTAAATAGATCTTTAACACTGGATATAAGTCTAGATCAAGGTTGGACCAGGTAAAACTATGAATCTAACTGTGCGAGGACTAAATGAGAAAAACAGCTGTTTTCGAGGTTTCAATATCTGCTGCTCTGGCTCAGGGTTTACACTAGGGTTACCGGGTGTAATCGAGGGGGAGGGGGAGGGGGGGACGTGTTTAAAAATCTCTCAGTTCAGAAAAAATTTTACCAAAAAATTCTTAAGTAATTTCATGATAAAAATCATATATGTTTATCCATTGAAGATTTAATTTTTTAATGCATAAGATACATAATTCAAATAAGTTTTTTTAAATGCTTTAATTCCCCTCGGCTTGCATGTTACATAGTTACATATTGCAAACCAGACTTTCAGAACAGTTCGATCCCCATTTATTATGACAATTTTGGCGGAATTGTCAGTTTAAATTTATAAATTTTCAAAAAATATAAAATGTTGAAATTTATTTTCAGTTATTTCTCAATTAACATTCTCTGTGGTCATGTTGGTTGATACAAAAGGTTTGGACCCAATCGGTTCCCCAGTTTTGACGTTAATTGGATACAAGCCTATAATTTATCCGTTGTATCTTATTTTGCACAAAGCTTTTTTATTATTTTTTTAACCATCCAAGACTTTATGGGATTTGAAGACGGTTCCAAAAATCATGTAATGAAAAATGTTATGTTCTAAAAGTTTTCTTGTGTTTTCTGTCAGAGTGAAATATTGTTTAGTGCATCCAAGAAAATTCAAAAATAAAACAAAATATGAAGCATTTAAAGATTTATCTAAAAGAACATTGAATGTTTCCAAAGAACTAGAAATAAATAAAAAAAATATACAATAACAGCTTACCCAGGGTCCCCATAATTACTTCTGCCGTTTACCCGTGCTTGGTCGTAAAATACAATTTTTTCTATTTTTCCCTTTAAAAGTAAACCTAATCAACTAAGAATCTCAAAATTATTCTAAGAACATTCATGTGGTTCTCCCGAGTTCCCCAATCAAAATTTGAGGCAAATCTGTCAAGGGGTTCATGAGATATGATCGGGCATACAAACAGATATGTTCAAAATGATCTATGTTCACTATTTCGCACTGCCAGGTCAAAAATCTAAATCTTAAAAACCCTAAGTTTGGTAGCAAAATAACTCCTAGAAAATTCTGAGTTCAAATAATCATACAGTGAAACCCTTAATAACGAATACATCGAAAGAATTCATTAAATGTCGTATTCTTCACTTTCTGATAATGAAATGTTGTAGATATTTAGTTTTTTAATTAAATGATTATATGGAGCTCTTTAAAACTGTTCCCGCATATTCATGGCTATTAATTTATTTTCGCAAATACTGAAATTTACGTAATATAGTATAAAACACATCGAAAAATTGTCAAGACGACATTTGATAAATTCTTCCGATGTATTCGCTATTAAGGGTTTAACTGTATTTAACTGAAAAATATTGAATAATAGCCCAGTTGCGGGCAAAAAAAACATGCTCGATTTAGAAAAATTCAACTATCAACCCTAAAATAAGTTAATTAAAACTAATACGTTCAATATTAACTGGTACAAAAGCACTAATAAACCCCTTATTTCTTATTTTCAAAAATTTAAAATGATATCTTACCCAGTAATTGAATCATTACACACTGGTACAAATCAGTAATTAAATTCTCTCTGTTCTCAAGTTCATCTACATTTTCATCCTATTGACTATCATTACAAATGTTGCTTTAATTAGTTAGAGTAGATTTTAAGTTTATATTTTTTTTAAATATTTATTTTTCAGAATTCATTCCCGTCTAACATTGTAGTTGAGCTAGATACTTTTATAAGTTTTCAAGTTTAAACTTCTGTAGTTTTGAGATACTCTTATTAGTTTTAAAATTAATGTTTTATTTCCTATAGTTTCACTATCAATACCATCGTTACAGTGTAGTGTTGAGAAACTATTAGTGCTAAAATTAATGAATTTTATTTTATTTTCACTATCAATACAATTGTTACAGTGTAGTATTGAGATACTACTAGTGCTAAAACTAATGTTTTATTTTCTATATTTTCAATATCAATACCATTGTTACAGTGTAATATTGAGATACTACTAGTGCTAATATTAATGTTTTAGTTTCTATATTTTCAATATCAATACCATTGCTACAGTGTAGTATTGAGATACTGTTAATGCTAAAATTAATGTTTCATTTTCTTTAGTTTCACTATCAATACCATTGTTACAGTGTAGTATTAGATACTACTAGTGCTTAAAATTAATGTTTTATTTTCTATATTTTCAATATCAATACCATTGTTACAGTGTAGTATTAGATACTACAGTGTAGTATTAGATACTACTAGTGCTAAAATTGATGTTTTATTTTCTATATTTTCAATATCAATACCATTGTTACAGTGTAGAATTGAGATAATATGCTAAAATTAATGTTTTATTTTCTATATTTTCAATATCAATACCATTGTTACAGTGTAGTGTTAAGATACTATTAGTGCTAAAATTAATGTTTTATTTTCTTTATTTTCAATATCAATACCATTGTTACAGTGTATTATTAAGATACTACTGGTCCTAAAATTAATGTTTTATTTTCTATATTTTCAATATCAATCCCATTGTTACAGTGTAGTATTAAGATACTACTGGTCCTAATATTAATGTTTTATTTTATATAGTTTCACTATCAATACCACTGTTACAGTGAAGTATTGAGATACTATTATTAGACTCAATACTTGAGGAACATGCAATCTATACAGTCCTCCCTCCCTTGCTATTTTCCATAAAAACCTCGGCTGCAATTCCATCATTCATCTCAGGAGTTGGAGATTTAAAAAATTCTAAATTTAAACTCAGTAATTTTTTCAGTTTTCAATGCCGATTTAAAATTTAATGGATCAGATTAATAAGAAACTTATTAATTTTCTTATCCTTATATCTGATGTTGTAAACCTTTAGTTTGTAAAACGCCGACAGAATTACGCCAGATCGAAGTCAAAATCAAAGTCAAAGTCAAAATTTAAAATATCATGACTTAAAATCAAGTTGCAAGAGATATGGCTGACAAAACAAGAATTTGAGATAAATGATCAATTTCTTAGCTCAAGTATTGATTTTACTGAAAAGCAGTATTTAAAAAGACACAAAAAACCTTGAGAATTAAAAAAAACTTTAAAGAGACAGCATTTTAAACACTCATGAAGTAAAAAAAGTTTCACTTAATTCCGGGAAACCGAATGTTTGCAGGATATCAGCTTTTTAAATTTCAGCCTATGTGAAAAACTTCATTTGACCAATACAACCTTCAACTGAAGGTTTGAATAGTATATAAGTTCAGAAACAAAGTAAATGTTGAAACTTGCAGCCGGTAACAAAACATATATTAACTTTTCCTATAAGGGAATGAACGAGTAATTTTAAGTGACACTTAATTAGTAGAGTAGCATGTCTGATTCACAACAGTAAACTTTAAAACACTGCTTTAGAAACACAAACGCTTGTAATTATTAGAATATTTGTTTGCAAACTGTTTTATAATTAATAAATATTAATATTGCCTTCTAGAAGTCGAAGAAAATAAATGCTTACATTCAAATTTGTTAAACCCACGTAGACATAGGCATAGAATATTCGAGATTTTCAAGGAATACATCAAACGTCAGCTGCATTGAGTTCTAGTTTTATAACAATTTGAACAACATTTTAGAGATAACCACACGGAGTTCTCTGCTTTCGATGATCTATCAAAAGTTCAAAGGGAACCGCTGTAAATCGGAAACTTCCCTCTTTACATGGAGAGTCACTTGAAAATACGCATTTAGTCCCTTTACATGATATGAGTATATTGCTATCCTTACATGATATGATATGAGTATATTGCTATCAAGCAAGTTAGTCTTCTCGACCCTCCTTACACATTTCTGGATTATTCACAAGTTATTTTTACTTCTGTTTAATGATATTACTTGGCTTTAAGGGAGCTTTTCTTTCAACTTAATATTAATAATTTTAATGATTTCAATGATTAAATTTTAAACCTCTAATTAAAAATTTAATTATTTTCTTTATTCAAGTCTAATAGTATTGAAAACAATTGTGAGTTCATTATAAAAATGTCTTAACTGACAAAATCCCCATTATTGTCATACATACGGAATTTGAGACTACGTTATCAAGTTTTAAAAACGAGTTAAATTAGTTTTGGAATAAATAAAAGGAAGAAGTTCAGTTACATTTTACTAGTTTAAAAACTCTGGAAACAGTTTTTTCTTTAACCCTATCATGATTGGGGGTAGTATGGGGGAGGGGAGTGTTCCACCCAGTCTGTGGTTTTTTCTTTATAACTTAAAACCGGCTTACACTGGAACGCTCCATACTTTTTGAAGTTTTTTTTTTAAATTTTTAAACCTACCAACCATTCTAACATTTAAGGTTTTTTGATGAGTTGGCATTGAAAAGTTGGACCATTTCACATGTTTTACACTCCCATAGATCAACTCTATGGGCCAAAACACGCCCCCCCCCCCATTTATATAAGACAAAAATAGCCCATCGGGATAGGATAAGGGGTGGAAGGCTTTACTATTCTTATTTAAAATTTAGTTCAACCACGCTTATTTGTGAAATAAACTTGTGTGTTATAATTCAGAACTATTATGGTTTTATTTAGCTTAACTTTACTGCTTGATTATTGCAATTAATAGTTAGAAAGGTACATGCGAGAGAGAGAACTTTTTAGGGAGCAACACTTAATCTGAGAGTTGAACTTACTTTGGAGCTAGACTTACTTTAGAGCAAAACTTACTTAAAATCCAAACTTAATTATTGAGCTGGACTTATTTGTGGAGCTAGATATTTATTGAGCTAGACTTACTTGGCCAGCTATTGAAGCATTCCTCGTCTAGATCTTCATATTCACTTCGCACTCTGCTACGATGCCCTTTAGTCTGAACACCTCCTTCCCGTGCTCTTAAAAAAACATTTTTTACAAGGGTTTTGTATAATAATATAATCCCCCCCTCCTCACAACCTAGCAAACAGTTAAATGAATCGTAAACAGGAATCTGAATTAATGTAGTTTCATACAAAAAAAAATCAGACTTTTTTTTTAAAAATTAAATACTTCCCCCCCAAAAAATCATTTATTTTTCCTCATGGGAGGGGGGCAGAGTTGTTATAAAAAACCAGCCCAAAAAACTCGCCCCCAAAAAAAGCAATAAAACCCACTTTAAAAACCTCACCTGTAAGAGGGCTTTTTTGGGTTTTATTGGTTTTTTTTAGAATTTTTCTAATTATTGCCTTTTCTTTACTCTTAAAATGATAAAGTATTCAAGTACTTATGTTTCTAAAGAAAGAGAGAACAAGAACTTATGTGAATTATGTTTCTATTCAGAGGACAAGAACTTATGTGAATTATGTTTCTATACAAACAGAGGACAAGAACTTATGTGAATTATGTTTCTAAAACAGAGGACAAGAACTTATGTGAATTATGTTTCTAGCTAAACAGAAGACAAGAACTTATGTGAATTATGTTTCTAGCTAAACAGAGGACAAGAACTTATGTGAATTATGTTTCTATACAAACAGAGGACAAGAACTTATGTGAATTATGTTTCTAAATAAACAGAGGACAAGAACTTATGTGAATTATGTTTCTTTACAAACAGAGGACAAGAACTTATGTGAATTATGTTTCTAAATAAACAGAGGACAAGAACTTATGTGTATTATGTTTCTAAATAAAGGAATTACAGATGGGATGGGTGAAAAATTGATGCTATATAACAAGATATAAATTCCTACCTGGATTTTTTATTATTTTTTGTCGACGGCGTGTATCCTACGTCTGGCAATAAAGCCTCGTCAGAATGGATGGATTCTGCTCCTAAAAATTGAATAATAGAGTTACATTCATAAGATAGTAACTTTTAAATTGATTTGCAGAGGTCACAGGAGCATGAAATTTTGGATTCATTTTTTTCTCATAATAAGCTTTCTTTGTGCAAAATTTAAAAAGAAAATCCATGACATTGATTTCCATGATCTCCATAAACTGCTAAGTTCATAAAGAATGACCCTTTAGCACCTTATCAAACTAATGAAAATTATAGTTTTAGTGGATTCAGCACCCAAACAAAATAATGGAAAAATATGAATCGAATGGATTTAACACCCTAAAAAATCGATGGAATTATAGAATTTGAATAGATTCTGCTCCTTAGCAATTAAGGGAATAATAAAATTTGAATGGATTTAACAAACAAATGGAATAATAGAATTTGAATGGATTCAGCACCTTAACTAATTAATGTAATAATAGAATTTGAATGGATTTAGCGCCTTAACAAATTAAAGGAAAAATACAGTTTAGATGGAATTACCACCATAACAAATTAATGGAATAATAAAATTTGAATGGATTTAGCACCTTAACAAATTAATGGAATAATATAATTTTGATCGATTATTATGCTCCTTAAAAATTATTGGAAAAAAACATAATCTAAATGGATTCAGCACCTTAACAAATTAATGGAATTATAGAATTTGAATAGATTCAGCCAGGGGTCCATGTAATTCCATTTCTGATCCCAATTAGGATCGGGGTTAAAAGTACATTTAGGGGCATGAAATACACTTTATATGTCATTGTGAACTTTGACAAGTTTTTGTGTACGCGTACTACACTTCAGAAATGTGTACTGCATTTGGGGTGTTATATTAGTATTTAATGTAACAGATAAATTATGATATACAAAAAAATAAACACTCCTTTGCAGTAAACATTCTGCAGTATGGAATTTTTTCTTCAACTTGGCATTATACTTCCAATTCACAGTTCACAATAAAAGAATAAATAAAAGAAAAATAAATACAGACCAATTAACAGTCAGCACCAGGATGAACAAATAAATATATCGTAGCAAGGATGTATAATAGAAAAGTCGTTAGATATGAATCAAAAATAATGCAGCACTAAGATAAATAGATAAATGAATAAATAAGCTCATGGATGAATAACTTAGCTAAAATAGATAAATAGATTATTACTTGACCCCAAAATGAATTGATAAATAGAACACAGCACGCTGCGGCCCTTGATTTCAAATATTTTTATTTTAACTAGTTTTTAATTTATATTTTTTCAGGGTTAGGGAAGATTTAGACAATTTCTGGTCCAAGCGCTGCGGCTAAGAAGGCTACGGGGCCGAGCGTCGCGGCAAAAATAGGCAAGGAGTGCTGGCACTGCGATCCCATGGCTCAAATTATACCCAAAACTGATGTGTACACAAAAAATAAGAGGGGGTGGGCGAAGTGTGTGGGGGTCCTATACTAGGAAATTACCGAGTGTATGAAATAAATGTGTATTGTGAATCAGAAAGATCTATTAATAGAGGAAACAACAAGATTCAATTTGAATGATTTAAAAAAATTTACACTTACAATTTTAAAATAAATTCGGTATCCCTGGAAACTTGAGGTAATTTCCTAGAGAACGATTTTTGCCCCCCCCCCCCCCTCCTATCAGTTTTGTACATGGATAACACATGGATATAATTGGTCACGTGGCCGCAGCGCCCGGCCCCCTAGCCTGTCCTAGCATTGACGCTGGCCCCGCAGCCAGTCCTAGCCGCAGCGCTCGGCCAAGAAATTGTCTTGATAATTTCCTAAAGAACGATTTTTGGACCCCCCCCCCCTATCGATTTTGGACATGGATAACGCATGGATAAAACTGGTCATGTGGCCGCAGCGCCCGGCCCCCTAGCCTGTCCTATCCGCAGCGCTCGGCCCAGAAATTGTCTTATCCTAACTAACACTAAAATAATAAAAAACAAATGTACAAAATTGATAGGATGGGGAATAGTAAAAAAATTAAATAATAATAATTTTGCTGAAATATGAAAAAAAGGGGTCCGTCCTAGTGAAGGATTTTTGGACCCTACCCCCCCCCCCCATCCTATCAATTTTGTACATGACCACTTTTTCAACAATTTTCAATTAAATTAGTATTTATTTGGGGTTAGATTTGGTTAAGACACTTTCTGGGCCGAGCGCTGCGGCCACATGTCTTACATTTAACACCCATGTACAATAATAATAGGAGGGGGGACGGCCCAGATTAGTTTCTTCTTGTTTTTTTTATTCATATGGACGACATGGATAATGGACATGGACTACCTGTCGAATTGAGGGAATGATTTGAATTAACAGAATTAATTCTAACTCTAGCCTGAACCTCCTCCCCCTGATATGGTTGAATAGAATCAAGATCGGGAATATTCGAGTTCAATTCGTCGGCCAAGGTTACAATGTTATTCACAATTCCCGTTTTGTTATTATTCTGTTGATAACTCGGCTCCACGTCGACGCTAACTAAATGTTCAGTTAACTCGGTCATTATTGCTGAAAATAAATGTTAACAAGTTCACCAATTTTAAGAGAAAAGTAAGGAACAAAGAGTAAGTGTTCGAGGGAGTAAAGATCAGCTGTTTCTGAAGTAAATGTTGACAGGCATGTGGTGACATCTTACGGTAAAACAAAATGATTTAAAACAAAGGTTTTGAATGTCGTCTTGAGTAGCGTCTTCTTAAATTATTTTCTAATTTAAGGATCTTTAGATCTTTATTCTTTCGACCCATGCACATTCGCTAATCGCTATACTACACTTCCGACCTACTACCACATGGTTTTACAGCAATTGTTCGGCTCCCTAGTCTGTTCTAGCCGTGGCGCTTAGCCTAGCATATAGCTGCAGCGCTGGCTCAGAAATTGTCAACCTAATTCCTAATTCCCTCAAATATTTCAAAATAAACAGCTATACTAACGTCCCATATTGCATGCAGTATGGTCAGAGAGTAAAAGTTACTAGTTCAGAAGTTTCGTATAGGGGATATTGCATTTGCGTAGAACGGATGAATGTGGAATAATTAAATAGGATTTCAAATTGGACTCTAATCAAAGAGAATTGAATATATATTAGAGGAGGATTTACTAGAAAAAAGTGTAAAACGGCCATTTTGTTGTACTGTTTCCATACTGCAGGTGTACTTCACATATTTATGCTATATAACCTCTTGGGCACTGGAATATCATTATGTAGAAAATCTAAAACTATAAATATTAAAAGAAAACCAAATTATGAAATACTAAATAGGCTGGTTTCATAATTGACCAATGATCATTTCACATAGACTCTATGCCTTTCACTTTAGAAACGATGATTTTGATTATACTCAAATGATGTTTTTTATTCACCTAATTCATTATAAAGTTTATTTAACAGCTTTAAAAATTTCGAAATTGAAATGGAAATTCTAGGGAACATACTATATTAATGTACTCTACTGCATATAATTTGTAAACTTTTACATGATTTGTACACTTTGAACTCCCTGTCAGGCTGAAAGGGACTGGAAAATTTCATACCAAGAGATTCTTTAAATTCCCCTCTAATATATATTCTATTCTCTTTGACTCTAATACACACAAGGAACTCTTATGGTCGGACTACTGGGACAAAAGTATAGGACGTTCCAATTCCAAAGATCTAAAATGGACTATACAATTCATACAATTCGGATTAAAAAGTCGTTGAACTGGGAATGTTTCAGAATCCAAATCTAGCCGGAACTGCATGCAGCATATGCATGCAGTGCATGACGGAGACAGAGACAAAAAGATTAAGATCAATTCTCAACATATGTATGTACAAAATGACCCAACAGACATTCGAGGCTTTAAAGGGACATTCGTCCTAGTTAAGCCAACCCTCCTGCACTTAAAAAAGGCCATGTCCGATTCACAACAAATACTTTTCAAACCGTAATCCTCAATATTTTTTGCGTTTTTCACGTTTAATATAATTAATTCTAAAATGTGTTATATCAAGAGGCAACACAGTTGCCCATATTTGGGCATGAAGCAACAAAATTATTAAATATGAATATGATCCATTTTTTAAACCACACCTTGTGATGAATAAACATAAATTATCAATATCATTCACAAATTCATCCATATGTTGAATTAAGTGTTTCTTCAAGGTCATTATAACAGGGGCCCCCTGAGAGGGAGCTCTTTAAAAGTTTGGAAATGTTTTGGATCTTTGTTAAATTTAGAAAACAATGGTATACATGTAATAAATATCGTTCAACACGATATCTGTAAACCTGAACTGCGTTGTACATTATTAATTATCGAACTTGTAAATAGCTACGTAAAACCCATGAGATCATGATTTATCTTAATTGTACTGTATAATAATACGTAACATAATTAACCTAGCCAAGAACGTATGTAGATACGTCAGAACCTTTATCATGTGATTAGCTTAACTCTGCGATAATCTTGATATATCGAATTCGTCACCGAATTCCCATGTTTATTGGGACACCCCGTATGTTAAATTTTGGCAAAACTGTTTGCTCAAAAACAACCTTAAAAAAAACACATAAGTAAATTTTACCTGTTTTTTAATCATAAATTCTCCTTTTGAAGAGCACTGGGCGTAAAACCAAAGCTAGAGACGCTATCGAGGTCACAAAGTTGAAAATTATAGTTTCCAAAAATTTGACATTTCTTTGTGTGTCGATTGAATGGACAAAAGGTATGCGTTTTTTCAATGTTAAAAAGAATGTCTGCCAGTTTGCCTTATATTACCCACAAAACTATAGTTCAATGTTAAAATGTGAAATCTGTCCTTTTTTAGTCTGAAGGATTTAAAAAACAATTTGTGAAATCTTGTGTGCAAAATCTACGATGCTTGATTTTGATCACATTAGTTCAAAAGAATTGCATGATCCGAATAAAATAGTACAAGGATGTCTGTCTAGTCTTTAACGTACCGGCCCGTCTAGTTTACCTAGGGTTTCTATATTTTCGTTCTATCTCTATCGAGAAATTTCTTTCAGCCAACGAAAATGTGTACGAAAATGAAAATATTTTTTTTCGCAAAAATTTTTAATTCAAATAATTTTCGCGAAATTTAATCTGATTTTACTACCATTTTTGACCTATCACGATGGGGGGGGGGTTTCTAAATAACTTTAAAAAGGCTGACATAGAACACAAAAAACTTGTTTTCTTTTTAACTTCTAAGTTGTAAACAAATTTTGCTAAGCATTTTTTTATGCATAGGGTGGGGTGTGGGACAGCCAAACGTCGAGTCGGTCCTTGAAAAATATAGATTAAATAACTTGTGTCACATTATAATATTGTTCAAAAGTAAAAATATTTATTTTTGAACATTTTCCGACGAACTTTTTGAACTTTTTTTTCAATCCTTCCTTGCACCTTAACCTTAGCAATTTTTAAATGAGCAGGCCTTGAAAAATTGGACGAGAGACATGTATCACACTCCCCTATCTCAATTCTAATGGCAAAATCATGGGGGTGGGGGGTTGGAAAACACCCTGCCACCCCCATCTATTAGACAAAAATAGCCCAGCCGGGATAGGGTTAAGAAATTTTGAATTTTTGATAAAACTAAAAGCACTGTGATTTAACCCTATGTCTGCTGGGTTACTTGAAAACCAGGATATGCTGGGGGGGGGGGTCAATTTGACCCCCCCCCCCCTCTAAATCCCATGTTTGATGTCCAAATATGACAAATGATACATCATTGGAAAGCTCTTGTGCTATATTTTTAGAATCTGCAAATTCTATTGCAAAATCCAGTTATATATTAAAAACGTTAGCAAAAAAAAAAATTTGTCCAAAAAATAAAAATTATACACTTTTGAAAAGCCCTTGACCATGCCATTTCAAATATGCAAAATTTTAAATAACGTGATTTTTAGTCAAGAAAAACTAAAAATGTGCAAATTTCCTTTGACAGGTTTTTTGCAAAAAATTTCCAATTTTTTTTGCAAAACTTGTGCAATTCGTTTCCTTATGTCAAAGGCTTTCCAAAAAGCTAAATTTTATCAAAATCTGACAAGTGGAAGTGGGTCAAAACAAAGTTTTAGTTTGTTACAGGAAAAATAAGTCATTAAGGTAGTGTGCCTGAGGACTTGCAGGCAGTTAGTATTGAAGCCCGGTTTTAGGTCTAAAGGGAGGGCTTTGGATAAGTAGGAAAAAACAGAAAATTTCATTAGCCTCAGACCAATACTTTTTGAGTTATGTAAAAAAAAAAACTACAGGGGGGGTCAAATTGACCCCCCCAGCAGGAATAGGGTTAAAGGTTTTAAGCTCGCAAGGAATAATTTATGATAATTTTGCCATTTACTTCTTAACAAACCAAAGCAAGGGCTACAGAGAAGCATATGTGAATTAGAGCGGTAAAATCAAAGTCCAAAGCGTTGCGACACTTCAAATTCAACCCTGTCTTAAAAATTGATGAGATTTTTTGTCAGCATGGGCAGAATCTACGTGAAAGATTCACATCAAACATGATTCTCTGTTATTTTAATTCGTCATGGTCAGTTGAACACCTTATAATAGATGAACAGTAATTTCACAAACTCACAACCTAGAAATGTCTTAAACAAGATTCATTGACCAGTTATACAATATTACAACATTACCCACAAAGGATGAGACCTAAGAGACGACATTCAGAACTGTTTGGGTCTTTGTTTATTAATTGAATATTCCCTGTAGTTCTAAACTTATTTTTTCTTTGCCAAATTATTGAATTCAAGAACTATATTCAAGACAGAAAGCCTATTTTAACCTTCAGATCTTCATAATTAAAGATTTTCCAGTTGTCCAAGTATCATCCTTTGTGCATAACCCTGTATATTTAAGGTTCAACACTAAACATGGATACGTACCCTTACTAGATGTAAAAATTAAAAAAAATCGATTTTTATCGAGCGAAATATTTGTTCGCGAAAATGAAACTTTCGAGAAAATGAGGTCGAAATTTTTGTCAAAATTCGCGAAGCGAAAATTTTGAACGAAATTCGTTCTTCTTTGTTCGTTCATTTTTGCGAATTTCGTTCAACAAAATTTTCGCTTCGCTGGAAACCCTAAGTGTACCCAGTATGTACCCAGGTTGACCTATCGCGTTTTATAAAACAGAACTTTAAGTCTTACAAATGCTTTGACCGAAAGTTTTATTTTCTTTTGCATTAAAACTCATTCTCTCCGATCTGGCCTTCAGAATATTTTCACTGAAAAAACTTGTTAAAAAATAATTAAAATTGACTAACTATACATCATATTAAGTTCGATCATTCTATCAAATATCCTGTCATATAATTGTTAGAGTAAGCATATTCAGCTTCCTTTTAAGGATTCAATTTAAAATTTTGAATTAAAATTCTGTTGATTAGTAAATATCTATCTATCCTGTCATATAATTGTTAGAGTAAGCATATTCAGCTTCCTTTTAAGGATTCAATTTAAAATTTTGAATTAAAATTCTGTTGATTAGTAGTAAATATCTATCTATCCTACCATATAATCAATAACAGGCCATGCCACCACACACGTTTTTATGCATTTTGAATTTAAATATTGAAGTTTACATAAATGG